TTATTAGGAATGAAGTTACAAGAGAGTTAGCAGAAAGAACAAAAATATAATTATTATATGATTAATATGTATTCAAAATATATTTATTATATACTATTTTAAATCATATAATAATAATATTGTTAATATATAATAAATATATTGTAAATATATTTAGCAAAAAACATAGGTTTCTGTAAAGTACGTGTGTTTCATTGGGGTAGACAATACACTTTGTAAATCAAAACTATATGTAGTTATATAATAAATTTATTAACAAAAATTTTTAGAATAATTCTTGCAAATTTAAATAGATGCACAGCCCTAATGGCTCGATAGTTTTGAATAAAATTCTGCAAAGACCAACACTATATCTCTACAAACAAATTATAGAGCTATTTCTTTAAAAAAAGAAACTAATTAAGTCCTTACTTCTTGCCTCTTTGAAGAAAAAAAGCATAGTGTATTAAACTTTTCATGTTTAAATAGATAAAATAGCTCTATAACTTTGTTTGTAGAGATGTGACACTGGTTGGTTATTGCAAAATTGTATTCAAAACTATCAAGCCGTTAGGGCTATGCATCCATTTAAAATTATTACTTAGCTAAAAATTTTCGTCAATAAATTTTATTATATAACTATATATAGTTTTGATTTACATAGTATATCGTGTTTCATGGCTTGAGAGTAAATCTGATTATCCTTCAAAGCGTATAAAAGTTAGTGATGGTCATAATTTGAATATTTTTATGCCATCTACTGGTAATCAAATTCGTACAGCAGATCGTACGGAATAGTTTTCAAAATAAGTACTGTATTTTAGAAATTACAGAAGATCTGGATAGTTGAATAACCAGATTATATGGTAAGAGGATGTAAATACTATACTAACCTGATCATCTATATCATACTGAACTCTTATTAATATTAGGGTAGCTGCGCGACACAGTCGTGCTAAAACCAGGAACGTGATATGTTTGAATGTTGTTTGGTGTTTTGTTTGTTAATTTTTTCTTTTTTTTTGAATGTTGATTTATTTTGGTTATTTTTTTGTGATGTTTGGTTTTTTTTTTCAATTAGATAGGATACTTTTTGTAGCTGTATGTTTTGGTATTTATGTAATTCGTATAATATTTGTGTTATGATTGGTTTTTATAATTATTATTCTGGGCGGGTGAAAAGTTAGTAGTTATTGAACTTTTTTTATTATTCATTATTGTTTGTATATTCGGTAGGTTTTATGTTAATTTTTAGTAATAATTATGTTCTTATTTTATTTATCGGTTTTTAGTTTTAGTGTTGTTTTGGATGTAATATTATATTTTATTTTTGAAAGGTGAGTCGTTAAGTTTAGAAAGTTAGTCGTTTGGCCATTCATTTAGTTTAGAAGTCTTTTTTGCGCATTTCATCTAGTCATTCAAGTTCAGCTTGCAGAGCACAAGAAGGTTGCATGTTTAGTACGGATTCTTTGTATAGTCATAGGATTAGTAAATCTTCTAATTTTTGTGCTCGAGAGAGCATTACGTAAGTGCTATTATGTGTGTTACTATCAGCCAGATCGATAATTACTTTTTGTAATGTTTGACCTTGGCATTTGTAATCGGTAAATGCGAAGGCCGGAGTTATTGGTAATTGAAGTCGTTGAAATTTTTTTTTAAGTTTAGTTCCATCATGGCACCATATTTTGTGTGTGCAACTGCGTTTAATGGGATATATTGGTATGTGGTTTGGTTGAAGATTTTCGAATAAACATGGTGATCCATTTGTAAGTTCGATTACCACATATTTTGGAGGCATTTTTAGTATTAGAATGTTTTGGTGAAGTAATGAAAGGTCGATTGATTCTTTATCGTAGATAATTTTGCGGAGAATTCCTTGGGTACCGTTTGCTAGATTGTCATTTATGTTGATGTTAACGGTTATAATTACTTTCATGTTAATTGATAATGGTAATATTCCACAGAGAGCATTGTCTTTGGTATCGGGTGTTGATAAGAATTTTCGGCGATTTTTTCCAGTAAGTTTTGTTTTGTTATACGAATCTTCTGCACAGGAATAGACTAATAGTTGTTGATTTCGTATTGCATGTTCTATCGTTGCATTTAAGTTTAATAGTACTCGGAGGTTGTTTCTTGCTACTAGGAAGATTGTGTTTTTCTATTCTTCTTCGTTTACGCGGTCATCGCCAAGAATTCTTGATCGTATGGTTGTTCGTTGGTCTTCTGATAGATATCCTTTATGCATGTCTTTGAGGATTGCTGCATAATATGTGTCATTTATTTGTCACATTAGTTTATGTAAATGTACAGCGTGTTGTATGCTAAGCCAAAGATTTCTTCCTATTGTGTTTGTAACTGTGTATGCGTTAGGTGTTGTGATTTTGGTGTCTCGTTTTCTCTTTTTTGTTTGTGAAGTAGGAGTTTCATTATCTGATTTTCTGTTGTATGATGATTTATTACTATTTATTTTATCTGGTACATAGAGTGCAGGGTCTAAAACAGGGGGTAGTTGCATAAAGTCTCCTGTGAAGAGTATATTTATTCCACAGAATGGTGTGTTATTGTCTATTGCTTTTATTTTTTTTTATAAAGGTATGTAATTGGGCTAGTAGATTTTTACCAATCATAGAAATTTCATTTATTATAATATACTCTACATTTGCCCAGAGTTTTCGGAGGTTTTGTAGTTGTTCTCTATTTAATGAGGTTTTTTCATTACCAAAACCTAATCCACATGCTGAATGAATTGTAATTCCTTTAATATTTGTAGCTGCTATCCCTGTAGGTGCTAAAACGAGAAGCGTATCACATTTAAGAGTGTGTTCAAAATAAGAGCATATGGCTTGAATTACTCTGGTTTTGCCAGTTCCGCCTGCACCATATAGATAGATAAGTAATTGGAATAGCTTTTTTGGGTTCATTGGTTTGTTTCTTTGGCGGTGGTTACATACTAGATAGTAGGCTTTTCTTTGTTCTTTATTTAAATTTGTTGCATATTTTTCCATAGGGTCTGTATTATCTTCTATTAAGTCTACATCGAGAAATATGTTACTGGAGCAGGTATTATTATTTTGATTAGGATTGATATACGATTTAGATATTGTAGCTTCTTTTATATTAATATTATTGTTTATTTGCCATGTAGTTTTTCGTGATGTGATTGTAGTTTGTCAATTGTTTAAAAGTTTTTCATCATAATTTTCACTTTTGCGTATACCATCCTTGTTGATTTTTTTGGTTGTTTCATTTTGATTGGTTAGAATTATTTTGTTATTTCTAAGAAATCTGCCACGTAATCGAAGAATATTTACAATGGATTCAATTATATTAATGTTTTTTATTCCTGCTTTGATTATATTTTCAGGATTAAATTTTTATTATCTGTGTCATCTGGGTCATAATATTCGTCTAATAATGTCAGTTCATCTTCAGCATCATAACCAGGTACTAAACGTTCAATATGACAAGCTTTTGCTGCTATTGGGTTATATTTTGCAGTTTGTCTTAATTCACGATCAAGCGTTGATTCTTCTAAGCATCGGTGTAACAGTTCAATATTTGAAATGATAGAACGAATACGTGTTGGTAAAGAAGAATCATTTAGAAAGGCCTCACATGCTTCTGCCCAAGAATCATAATTTTCGATAAGATTGTATACTGATTTCCATGGTTTGAACAACGTAAGAATACTTAGACTGTAATATTCTTCATTTTCAGCATCGTTTTTTTTTAGTATTCCTTTACCATGTGGATGTATTTCGTCAGATGTATTATTAGAGTCGGTTTTATGAAATAAAAAATGATCAACATGAGTATTTATACTTCTTAAATGTTGTTCCGATATTATTGAAAGTTCATGCTGGTTAGCAGGAATTTTTTGGATCGTTAACGCATAATCATAAAGGCAAACTCCTTCTAGTGGTGGTCCTCTAAATTGATAGTCTATTCGGAGATTTACTGCTGTTAATTTGCCTTGAAGCAAAGATATTATAAAAGTTTCTGGTGTTATATGTGGTTCTTCAAATTCACTTGATTCATTATCTGAATTGTTATTATCCATATTTATATCTCTATCATAATTTGTTAATTCTTTTGTGAGATAGTTTATAAATGTATTGAAGTGAATTTACTTGGAGTATAATGGTCAGAAATATTTAGAAGGTATGCCAAAACTTGTGGACCCATAAGTTCTGTCTGGCCTGCAATTTTATTAAGACATTTTGTTATAAGTTTTCTAGATTTACTTATAATATTGTTGGAGTTATTATCCGAGTTTTGTAATAAAAAAGTTTCTAATGTCGCAGCACATATTAAGAAAGAGTTATGTATATTGGTGTTGGATTTTGTTATATAGTCTGTGATGTAATAAACATAGGCCAAAGCAAGTTTTCGTGTTAAAATAAATTTAATATCATTATTTCCTCGACATGCAGCAGTTATGTATGGATTATGGTTGTTGATGAATGCATTAGCACATTGTATAGCTATAATACCTTGTTCATGAAAAATTATTCCAGGAGGGCTTACCAATTCTCTTGGGAAGTCAAAGCGGCAAGGTTTATTTAAGCTGCGGTTATATTTTTTACATGTTTTGTTACAATGGTGATAAAGTGTTCGTTTTGCAATTGCTAGCAAATCTAAGCAAAAATTTTCTTCAAAGTTAGGCATTTTTGGATCTGGAATAGGTTTAAATGAAGGGTGCATTCTTTTTTCTAATATAGTTTTCGGAGCCATATATTCAGTTTTAAGCATTTCATCTGTTATAATTTCATCTTTTGTGAGATAACTTATATCTTCCCGGACAATATCGCTGATATATTGTAGTAAGCATTGAGAAAATTCATTGTCATTTTTAAGTCTTTGACGTATAGTAATCGGGTCAAGTGCACCATTAAGCCAAATAATCATATGGCAATATAGAGTACCGCGATCTTAATACTTGACAATACCATAGTAATTTTTTATTATATCAAATATTCCTCCGTTTTTTCTGTTATAGCCAATTATCGTGTGTATTATTGTTTGGATAATAATATTGAAGTATTTTGCTACTGTTGAGGGGTCGAGGTGTGCAAGTTGGGCTCTTTCACTTGCTTTTGAAAAATTATCTGGTAAGAGGTTATTAGGATCTATTTCATTTCCCGCATACATCATTACTATTGGACTGTGAAGATCAGCGGAATTGATTGTTATGAATATCGAAGGTGCACCATCCCGTATAATAGTTGCACGTATTTCATTACGCATCTTTGTACGTGATTGATATGATTCCATTAATTTAGATCCCGAAGAATTAATATTTTTTAGTAATTTGAGGATTACTGAATTAGATATAGGCTGATTATTGTATATCTGTTCAACAGCTAATTTTATGTCATTAGGCTTAAGTGTATTTATTAAATTAGCTGATTTTTCAAAGTTACTATTTCTTGTTAAATTATATGATTCTGATGATACTTCACGTCTTTGTAAGATATCAAAGGCAACAAACGGAAACGATCTATGCTGACGAAATCTAGGATCACGATGATTCATAAGGTAATTTATATATTCTTTAAATGAGATATATTGCAAACGACCTTCATGACCACCTACACCATATGGATATAAAGTAGGAAAGGCAGCTGGAAAAGGTGTCGGATCTTCATATTCGTTTAGTGGCAAATTTGCATGAGGTACTTTAATTATTTTTGTTTGAGAACTTTCTGCGATAATATCAGATTCATTTGAGATATTGTTTGATGATTTATTTTTGTACTGTAAGTTTGATCCTTCTATAAGTTTATATAGGGAATTCAACGTGAGTTTTTCTTCTGATATTGGAATATCGTTCACATGTAATATACCTGATGATCTAAAGTTATATGTATTGCCGATGGTATTATTTTTAATAAATGGATCAGATTTATACCTATTTTGTTATTTTCATTTTCATTGTTTATACTTATGTCGTCATTTTCATTTTCACTATCTGACTCTTTATACTGTTTCAATGGGTCGTGTGAATAACCCGTATAGTGTTCTATATTTCGAGCTTCAAGGTCGATGATTGTGGTTGTTAAGTTTAAAGGTTCTGGAATTTCTCCTTCTGGTAGTTCGTTTAAAATATTTTTATCAAATTTAATATGATCTTTGAATAGTTTATTATGTTCAAAAAGCCATTCTAGCACCATCGCAACTTTAGTGTTTCGTATTTGTAGAATTTTTTTCAAATACTGTTTAGAAGGATTTCTCTTTCCAACAAAAATCACCTTTATATAATCACAAAGTTTAAATAATAGTAAAGGTAATACTTTTGCTAAAGAACTTGGATTTTGCGGTAAAGTAATGATATGCCCTTTAAGTTTATGATGGGTATGTATTTTATCTGTTATTTGAATGAGACTCATGCATGTATACCCGGGAGATATGATGAGCTGTTCAGAAATGGTTAGATCCTGGAGACATGGTGGTGTTGTTCCGATCCATAAGTTATTTACTAAGGATATTGGAGGTATAATGTTTTTCTCTAAATACCTATAGCAAGTATTGCATATTTGTAGAGTAAGTAAGTTATTTTTATTTTTTTGATTAGGTGGGTATATGAATCCTGCTCGGTCAAGTAAATATTTAATCTGGTAGTTCTGTATCGATTAGTTGTGGCCAGTTTGCATATTTCTCAATATCTTGTTTAAAATTTTTATTTATTTCCAGTATGTGCCAAGGTAAACCTGCATATTTTGCTTGATTATCTCTAGCAATTTGGGCTTCAATTCTTCTTTGTTTTCTGAGATTTTTTAAATGTTCACGGTTTTTCTTCTTCTAGCCTCTCCACGAGTTTTGACAGAGTTCATTATAGATTTTTAAGTATATGTGCAGTTTGATTTTTTTTTATTAAATTGATGAAATTCTAATTTTTAATTTATTTATGTTATTAGTAGTATTACTTGTCGTATTTGAGATATCGATCGCTTTTGTATTTGATTTTTGTCATTTTTTTTTTAACTTTTCATTACGTATTTAACTTTTTATTAATAATTAAATCTGCATTAATTATCTGTCATGATTTATTATTAATAAAATTATGTTATATTGATTTGATAAATTCTTTTAGATTCACGTGATTTACTTATTTTGCTGTCGTTATAAGCCTGACGTATGACGTAAGTCATGCTAAGGTTATTATCGCGAGGATCTTCACATGTGAAAGCCAAGGGCGTAATGACAGCTTTCAGTTACTGTTTAAGGCTAGGTGTGAAAATTAAGGATTAAATGCATTGAGTATATAAGTTAAGGGGGCTGAATTGTAATCGATATTGCTTTTTTCTTTCGCTGCCTGACATTAGTCTGGCTCTTTCGTAGTGTCCCTCCCAGGCCCCCCGGAAAAAAAAAAAAAAAAAATTTTTGGGTTAGAAATATAAAGAAAGGAGTGAGTAGCTCTGGGGCATGCTTACCAACATGTGAAGGAAATGCTTGGTGACTAGCTCCCTGACGCTCACTAAGTAATAATAATAGTAATGCTGTAGCATATCTTGTTTATATGCGATTCTCTTCTTTTTCGCCACGTGATTGCCATGTGATTGTGAATAGTTAGACAAAGTATTATGTTTAATAGCCCTATAAATGTAGGTTCGGGACATGTAAAGTGTGGGACATGTAAAGACAGAGCCGCAGCGCGACACTACTCCCATAGTGTTTTTTCAATAAACAGATCCGAGCGAGAATAAATATTTGTTATATATCTTATCTTAAATAAATAAATTGTCTTTTTTTTTTATTTATTCGATCATTGTGAGATAAGGTTATATTAAACACATACATAATCGTTTTATCATAATACTTTATTTGTTTTATATTGTGAGAAAAATATTTTTTTCTTTAATTTATTATGTGGATGAATATAGCACAAATAGTAAGATTCTAATTACAATCAGGTTATTTTCTTGAAATCGCTAATCAATTGCAAATACGTATGATTTTTAATTTGTGCTGCATATGATTTATTAAATATATCATGATTTAATAAATGCATGTATTATTTTAAAAATTACTTGTTATTTTATATTTATTTTAAAGTTTTAAATTACTAATCGATATATACACGATTTGTACACGAGATAGTAATTTTAGCTATTATCGCTGTCATTAATGTTTGTTATATATCTTAACCAAATAAATTTTTTTTTTTTTTTTTTATTCATTTGGGCAAAAACATTGTTTTTGACCCACCTGACCCATTTTTATTGACCCGACCTAATAAAAAAAAATTACATCGTTTTTAA